ATTGTGGGAGAAACAACAATCGCATATTATTGTTTCGACGACGGTGTACCTATTCCTTTTTATTCGAGTTTCCATACAAAACCGTATCTTTACACGCTCGAGTAATGGAAATGAAATTAAAACGGGCTTTTAGTCAAGCGTATTGTTTTCGTCATCACTGACTTGCCCTGGAATCTACTTTTAAATGTAGATTATGTGGAAGTGTTCTTAAATAACGAGCAAGTAAATTAATAAACTTAGATTAATTAGAATGACATGGTATTATAGCGTTTTAAATTTGATAAGAGTTTTTTTTGTATTTAGCGTAAGATAAGAATTAATTGAAATTATACATATTTTATTCCATTTATTAAAATATAAAATGTTTCACGCCGTTTTAATTGGTCTAACGACTAAGTCCTTTTATAAAGTACCAACAGAATTTGACACATAAATTTGACTTAAACATGAATTTATGTGAATAAAAATAGGTATATAGAATGGTTTTGGCGTAGGATATTCCGTCAGTTTGTATAGTTGCACAGCAAATCATTAGCTGGATAGAGACGGTTGCGGCGGACCACACTCGCTGTTTGCATTTGTAATTAATACACTGTTTGCACTTCTGATTTACGATACCGTCGGTTGTAGTCTCCTAATGTGTTAATAGCTTTGAAAATTAACTACCCGATACTTTAATTATATTGCTGTATTATTTATGATTATTATTTGTGTCTTTCCTTTCCTGGACGTTTTAATAGTCACACAAATATATACATTTCACGTATGTATATTATGTCAACTATCAAGTTTAAAATTTACATGGAAAATAAGAACGTTATATGCACTATCTTTAATCTATGATTGTCGTTCTGGCGAATTCATTTTGTTTTGTTTTTGGTGAAAAATTACTTCTGGCTTATCCCGCGACTTCTGAGGGCGTGGTGTCAGTTCGTCGAATTTGCATTTTTAGCGAAAGTACGGAGACGCGTCTCCAGCAGACAGATTGTGTGGGAGATGAATGATCCCGCGATTATTTATGAGCTTAAATCGTTTTTGTCTGTAGCTTTATATGTGAAATGGAAAACGATATTTTGTATAAATATTTGTGTAACATTGAATAAGGCTTTAAAATATTTTATGTTCTGCAAAGATTTATAGTCAGAAGTATATATCGTACAACGTGTTTTAAACACGAAACTGCTTTGAATTCTAAAAGACACCATAAATAAAAATGTACGTTCATATTAATAGAATATGAATAAAAACATAAATTATAATTCTCTTTCAAAGTTGAGCTTATTTCTATCTTTGCGGTAATATTCATGCTCATACTGAGTAAAATTTTAATATTATTGCGTCTCACGTCCTCTAAAAGCAATAAAAATCTAAAACTTACTTTTGCGTGGAAAGTTTTGCTTTGCTTTCAGCTTACGCGGGCGCGAGTGGAGAGGAACGCAACCTCGAACCCTACAAGGAGTAGGCGTGTTCGGAATGCATAATAAGAAGTAGATTAAAAACTACAAAAAATATATATAACATCTTGAGCTGACAGTCTTAGATTGATAGCCATAGAGCCACGGTGATAACCATAGATTTTTTCTTACTTATACATTTATTGATCTTGTCACTAAATATGAAAAAATAATATTCTTTCTATGCTTGCTTTTTAGTTATAAATATAGGTTTTTTAATTTAGTGTTGTATATTTAATTGTTCATGAATGGTTTTAGGAGATGTTCTGATATGACTGCAAAATGAGTTCTGAATTAAATTTCTACTATAGTTTAAGTTTCAACGATGCTTAAGATAAATTGAAATTGACTGGAGCGCAGTTCAAGAATAACATTAATATCAAATTCCACGTCGCATAATATAGTGAAGTCGCTCGGACATTTGATCACATGAATTTTTAATCTATGAACCACCGAATTTTTACAATGTTATATTTACAGCTTTGTATCAAATTCTTTTGAGTGAATTTTCCTTGTAACGTTGCTGTAACTATCTACACGTATGCTTTTTAGACATAATAGAAAAGTATCTTCATGTTGAAATAAATTGCAAAGTTTCGTTTTCAGGATATTTTTAATCACAATTTTTTTTATAATATGTAACATAAATTTTACATTATATATTATTCATAACAAAAATATAAGCTATGTCTAGATGTCCAGCAGATGTGAAATTATTTTGTCCGGAAAATATGCATGAAAGGATAGTTTATGAAAAGAAATAAATATGGCACGGTAAATATTAATTTTTAGACTCTGTTTGGAATTTACCAAAGTTTATGGTTAGATAATTATATATATGTGAAGCCTGATGAAGTAAACTTTAAAATTTCCAGTACGACTAGACGTTTGCGAGTGTAATAAAACGGGAACTATTAACGACTCTTCTTTTTCCGAACATGAATTGATAACAGCCATTACATTAGACACAATAAAATTGGTTTTCATTTACGAGAAAGCAGTATAATAAGCATTTTTCAAGCGAGGCGCAACGTCTCAGGTGTTGGCCCGCATTTAAATATTGAAACGAGTGTGATCAGAATCGAGAAGCAATTTTATTGTCACTTCGCCTCAGTAAAGCTATGAAATTTCATTGCTTTTCATTAAATTTTCAAGACATCCTTCCGTGTATCTTCAATGTATGTATATTTCTGATTTGATAATAAATTTTATTTTAATGCAACTGACATTTTAGCATATGTGTAATAAGAAATATAATTAAAAATGATGATATATGTAAGTGTACCTGGATTTTGAATTCGGTTTTTTTTGGATTGGAACAAAAATAATGTATATTTTTCAACTATGTGTCTCTTGCAATTGTTAAGTTTTCTATTCACTTACATTAAATATATTATTAATAATCTATTTATTACAAATAATACAATTATATAAGCATGTTGTCCCAAACTCTAAATACTTACAATGTGCATGTTAAATAAGGGAGCATTAGTTTGACTAAATATTAAACTGTGCTGGATTGAGGAAATGAGCCGCTGTATCTTCGGATTCACACACCACTGAGTCACCTTGCAGATTGTTACGAAATGTGGTGTTACTAATGTAGTTAATGTCGTATGAAAGGAGCTTTATCGCCATCACGACTTTTCATGTGTCCTTTATGAGTTATCGCTGGCCCTTCTACATTGGAATTTGTTAAAAATAAATAAGTAATCACTTGTTTTTAGAACAATAACACGAAAATGAGCTATAAAATATTATTCAAGTAAGTAAAAGTAGTAATCATTAATCATCAACTATTTATAATTAAAATACATTTTTTTTATAATACTTTAAAACACGTGTACCAGAGATACTTATTGATTTTAATTAAATTAATTGCTCGTGAGGGCAGGAGAAAGAACCGGAATGATGTAATACGCAATGCACTCTTCGTGAAATCGATTCAGATTAATGTGTTTAAAACAAACGTATAGTTACTTTATGCATTAATTGCTTTCATCTTTGACTACGGCTAGCGCGACGGCAATACATCAATCAGCCTGTTGTCGGCGTGACGTGAGGCTCGCAATCAAATAAAATTTAACTCGAAAGTGATCGTCGAGCGCTTGCATAAACTGTTTAATGCAGGTGGTACCATCCACTTTTAATATCTAAATGAATGAATATATCAAACGGAATATAGAATAATACATTCAAATTCCAATTTCAAAATAAGTTTTAGATTTAATTTAACTAGAGACTGATACAACAATATCAATTAACTAACAGTAATGTAATTGGAAAGTGGACACGCAAAGACCAAAACCCATCCTGTTATGATGTAAATAATACCAGTAAGATACATTAAATTTGCAATTTGTGATGTAGTGTATAGAATTTATCTTTAATTTTCCTAAATTATACAGTCGAAATTCACAGATTTTTATTATAACTGTATTTTTATTAAAAAATACAGTTTAAGTCGAAATATACTAGTAAGTACAATAAGTGACTAATTAATCCTACATTTAAATATCTCTACAAGTAATAGTTTTGATCCAGCAAAAAATAATTTTCAGTAAAAAATAGAATATAATCGGTTCCTAGTTAATAACTAAAAAAGAATTGAAGTGAAAAGTATAAAAGTTAGTTTTTACTTCCTCTCTACAAAACTTGTTTTTCTTTTATTAATTTTTCTTCAAGACTTTGGAAGCATGGAAAAAAATATTACTCCCTTGAGTAAACATTGTAGGAGAGTGCATTTAAGAAAAATAGTTTTGTGGCGAATTTTTAAATACGAGCGTATAAAAGTTCACCCAAATATTTCTGTTACATTTTATATTTGTAATAAACATATAAGGATAATACTTGATACCTGCATAATAATTATGTAATACACCTTCCCCATTTCAAGGAAACAATTTAGGACGGTTGCCTCGAGCAAGGATAACGGACATCCCTCTAATCATAGACTACCTTCTAACTAACTTAATTGTTCAAGTTCATGTGTTAACTTTTCGCTTCCTCATTAGGTTTGGGATAACCGATTAAGTAAAGCTTTAATTTAGTTATAAGAAGGGAGATCATATAAAATGAAATATAATTTTAATAAAATATTTTAGTTAATATTTATATAGATTATTTTAATTCCAAATGAATGTGTTCAGTTGCATAGCATTCTGGTGTTGACAAATTCATGTGAAATACTGTTTTAGTAAAAATTCCTGGTATAGAAACAGTATATAAGATGCAAAGCTTTAAATGAAGCATTGTTGTAGCACTTGCATAGTTTTCAAACGTACGTATGTATGTATATGATTTAGGTAACGTTGATGTCCTTATGTCACATGTCGCTTACACAACACTAAATCCATTGAGAGGTCACATGCCATTAACAACAATCATGGCTTGTCGTATCAATTTGGATAAATTAATTTAGTCTTATTAATTAGCATGACTTTTTTTTTTATTTTTTTATATTTAGTTATGGTGGCATTGGAATATATTTTCACACTTCAAGACTTTTGTTTGTATAAACCTTGTTGTTGCTTGAAGAACTTCTTTTTAATATGTGTTTGTTTTTGTTTTATTCACTATTTTTTCACATAGAAACATAGCAGGCCTATTACAGTAAGTAGTTTTAAGGAAACCCGTTCGACTTATAGCTCCGCAACGCTTGTTATAAGTTTCCTTCAAATCTTCTTTCATTGGAGTCCACGAAGCATATCCAGCGTTCTCTAGGGTTTCTCCTAAAGAGCATAAAGAAATACAATTTATAGAAAACAGAATTTTACCAAAACACGTGATACATTTATTAAGTTTGATATTCATAAGATTTTACAAAACACAACAATTATATGTTAAATTCATAAATTCTTACATTTATTTCACAATAGCAAGTAATTTTATTTTAACAACAATTTATTAACTGTTACATACAGATTTAATCTAACCCTTACTATTTTCACTTCATAATGTAAAAAAATAGGTTTAAGAAGTTTTAATAATGACATTTACTGGATAGTAATAGGACAACCAACCTGTAATAGTTCTGTATTGATTTTGAAACATCAAGTCACTAAATCCAATGTGTAATATATTTGGATCGGGTACATTGCTATTTAAGTTATCTCCGAGGAACCCTATTACAACACTCGCCTCCTTTGCTGAGTTTATAATAGCTAAACGTCCCTCCTCCAGGTTACAAGCCAAAAAAGCGTCATGCCAAGATAAAGGTTCTTCGTGAAATTTATAGCATTTGCCACTTATTGCTTTATGTGGAGCGTAGCCTATGAAAATATAAAATATTTTCTGTTATAAAACGGGTGACAAATTGGAATATTTTTCATTTTTACTTTTGTGTTCTCCCCCATGCTGATCTAGCGTCTCCTACTTTAATTATTATCTGAGGCTTATTTTCTTTACTCTATAAAAAATAATAATTTTTGATTGGAAGTTAAAGTAAACATTATACAGCGTGATGGTAATATTTTTGGTTAAAAATATCTATTCATATTACCTATTGCTCACCTACGTCAAAATTGTCACAGGCCTGATTATAAACAGTATCGTTTCCACGTATTTTACACACAAATGGGTAAATATCGGTACATGGACGATCGTCAAAGAGACCCTCTCTGGTCATAACAACGCAGTGTTCTGTACCATTGACGTTGTCTGGCCTACCTTCTGCCCAAAGCAATTCTAAAATAGTTCCTGTTATTGGTTGTCCTGTAAGATACAATAAATATAAAAAATACAATGAAGTCTCAATTGACGAATACGTATTAGTTGTATAAAAATATGTATGTATATATTTTTATTACGACATTCTTTACCTTTGACGGTGAGATAATTTCCAATGGAAAAATTATCATGTATTCCTATAAATATAGCAGTATAGTGAGCCTTCATATTGCTCATAAGTAGTTTTAAGTTTTCTATTTCTTCCAATGTATCCGGTATAAGTAATGTAGTTCCTTCTGATTCACACATTTGTCTCGCTTGAGCCCAATCCGTAGCTAAATCGTGAAGTCTGTAGAATGTCTTGTGGGAATGTGCCCACATATAATCCATTCGGAATTTCTGTGCTAACGGCGTTTTAGGTAAAGATTTAAAATTTACTAACTTCACATATACCTACCTATATTTTTGAATATTATAATACAAATACATTTATTTCAAATAGTATACTAAGTAAATCGAAAATAATAATAATTGAATAATGACTTAAGGTGGTTATTTTTAAATGTTTGTTCAATTTATTAAAATAATTCTCTTACCGCTTAAAAAATTTTGTTGACATATTTGATATAAAAGCAACAAAAGAAGCGATAACATGGTAAAATGAAAAATAATTGAAACAAGAATGAAATTGAAATTGCTTTTGAACTATTGTATTGTAATGTATTTTGTAGATTTACTGATATGAAATGAAATGTGTATTGATGAATTGATTCCTTAAACATGGAGAAAAAAAGTATAATTAAAATAATCAAATAGCAATAATATATAAAAACACGATATATCTTGCATATTTTTCTGAAAACCAAGATTATTTTTAATATGTTCGATTTGTATATACTTGACTGACTGACATGAATCTCATTGCAAAACAGCCTTAGTGAAATGATTATAATGAATTTTATGTATTATCTAAATCTAATATCCTATCGAAGATTTTTGATCTTTCAATATCTTCACCATGATAAAGGCCAGCGCGGTCCACCCGCCCGACAGCCTTCGACCACGCTTATTTGAATCTCCTTTCTAAGCGACTTCCTTTTCTGTGAGTGTCAGGTAATTATCTGTGTGGGTTTCCAATTTTCCGATCGAACGGTTAATTCAGTTTAAATCTCTTCGTGTAATACTTCGGCTGGTAGAATTGCCTAATCCTAGTCGATCGTAAGCCACTTCGTGAGTTATAAACTCACAGACGCTAACGTGTGATGATATTGAGGAAAGTATGGTTTATAGGTAAAATATTTATTATTGATGTAATTTTTGTACCATATTTATTATTTATCTCATTTGTTTATAAGATTAGTAGTGCAAGAAACATTTTATTTTATTTTTCTAATTTTGTGTGAATAAATACAGTAACATAGAAATAAAAGGGTTATTGAAACGTAATTAGGAAAAATGGAAAATAATTAAAACATTTTCTGGAGCAGCTTTGATGAAAATTGTATATTAATACGTATTTAGCGGGATTTTGAATATAATTATAAGTTTGCGCTGAGTATTATTGGCTCTGTCTCCATGGAATTGGATCATCGTTTCGAGTAGGAAAGTAAAGTTTGGTATAACTCATCAGCCGCAGTGGGTGGATATCAGATAAAAGTTGTTGGGAACTTTCTTTTGCGATATCGCCACCTTCGTCATGTAAATTGGACAAGTTGTGGCTTTACTGATGCTTGTTTCATTGGTTTATATAGATTAGCTCGTAATCTCACCACTTTTCTCTCTAAATTGTTTTTAAAAGAGCTGACAAACTTTCCTACGCTTAGAGTTTATTATGGAGATAATGCTACTATATATTTTATTCTTAAGTAATATTTTAGCACAACAGTTTCAAAGTTAAGAAATTTAAAAAACAATTCAATAAACATTTGGTTATCATAAACAATCCGACAATTCCAATGATCTCTTAATGTGTTCCTAGAAAAAGTTTATTCATTTTGATGCTTAATGGCGCGAATGGCTTCAAAGGACTTAAAGTTTATATTGAACCTATCCAAAAAGTAAATAAATGTGATACTTCCAACCTTTTCAGCCGGGTTAACCCGTAAACCATCTCAGTTTAAGGAGGCATTAAATCGCAACTCAAACAAGAATCGTTACAGCGAAGTTAACTCACATATTGCTTTGTGTCACGAACGCCTAAGCGAACAAAATAGAGCTACGTTGATGCGTTGTCGGAGAGAGATGGGGAATGGTAGCTCGGAGAATGGGTGTGGAGGGTGTAAAAGGAGAAAAACTACAACGCTAAAAGTGAATGCGGTCGAAAGCCGCGCTTATTTCAGCGCTAAGTGCATGGATTTTTTCAAGTGATACTATGAGTGCAGCGCGCACGTCGCGGCGTGCAGGCGCGGGACATTTAACAAAAGAACTGCATTCGCTATTAACTGTCTAGCATCTATTCTTGAGTCTCCAAGTAGGATGGTGAAGTATAGTTTAGTTAACAGTACTACCGGTTTATCGTCAATAAATTAAAATAATGAACTCTACGCCTCTTATTAGTTTATTATCAACTGAATTTATTCATATTATTCTATCGTTGTTTATCATCACACACGTCATACATACATACAATTTTTATAAGATTAGTTTAACACATTGGAACATTTTTTTTATTGTTGATTATATTTTAATACTTTGAGAGGTTTTTGTGTTGTGGAAGCAAAAATGTTGTACAGAATATGGAGGTTGACCGCAAACAACCCATTACTTTATATTTTAAACTACAGGTTAAAATATTTATTTCAACAACTTTTGTGAGGGCGTTCGATAGTATTTAGGAGTTAATCTAGTCGGTAATATTTTAAAATGTTCAAACCATGTTTCTGTTGATAATTACGTCCGTTATACAATCAATCAATTCAATGCTAACATTTAGTTGATCAAATGTGATTCCAATATGTATCTGAAGCGTTCATCTATTTAAAAAAAAAAGATTATGAAAAGCCATGAATTAAAAGGATTTCATATAGTCCTAAAGGTCTTTTCTCTTTCAATTTTTAATATAATACAATAAATTAATACTTGGAACCATATTTAGCTACCTTATTGAAAGTAATAAATGTATTTTTGTATGTATTAGCGATGTTATCTACAGTTCTTTATATATATAATTTTGATAAAATGACATAGGTAATAAACTTGTTTACACAATATCTAGTTAATTACGTGCAGTGTGCTGCGGTCAATCGAATGTGACGTTGGTAATTATGCTTTTAAAGTTGGATCATATACCTAATTGATCAGTCATTAAAATGAGCTGCTTTTATGCATGCACATGGGAGCCTCGATTACGATCGACGATATATACATAATATACAATAAGTTTACTTTAAACTAATATAAAATAAAATAGGTGTCATTTCTATATTTTCATCCAAAAACTAATGAATTGATTTAAAAAATCTCTATATGAAAGTAATATACATTTTTGTCAGAATAACAATAAAGAATTTTTAATAATACTGTAATATTCAGTCCACGGGCCAAGGTAAAATAATAACGGTTACTTATAAATATAACCAATTTTTATTATCAAAGTAATAGTATAATATTATTATTGTATATTTCATACAATACTAACATTACTTAATTCATTACACGTACGCAATAAAAAATGTTTTCCTCAATTCTCAATATGGAATGTCTTTTTGGTAACAATATGATAACAAAATAAGAGGTAAATAAGGCAAGTATTTTTGACATTCATGGGGTTATTTTTCGTGAATGGATAAGGGCAGCACCTGGGCCCGAACTCACAATGGCCAGATTCACAATGTAATGGTGAAGTGAACTGAATAACTTTGTTTAAGAATACAATAAAACACTTTTACCTAGAGTATATTATGATTCTAAAAATATTAAAAAAATGTATTCCGTCTGTTATTATATTTATCATAATTTCTTGTTTTTCAATGTCATGAAAACCTAGCTGTAATCGAGTTGAAGATACGAGAAATTATGTATCATCAGTGATGATATTTTTTTGTATAAATTTAGATTTAAATATCAAACTTTAAAAGGTGTAATGGAGTTATAAAAAGCTACAATATCATCATCATCATCATCAATAACATTTTGTTTTTCGTAAAACTTAACTAAATATAAAACGTTGTTTCCATAACTTTAATATCAACTATAGGCCACTTCTTAAATTATTCGAACGAAAAGAAATTTTAAATAAAAATAAATAGTGTAATAACTATTGCACTATTTATTGTAAAAACAAAACATTACTTTTACTTTTGTATTATTATATAAAATCTAATTGATCTAGCTTCTGTTAATACTTACTCGTATGAAGTTTAATGCTTAGACTAAATGATGATTTAGTCTACAAATGGAAAATATCACTAAACACTTTATAGTGATATCTCTAAGCGACCCTCTTAATTGGTACCTTCGGTTACAGAAACGTATATATGATCCAGACAGGGTAACCGCGTGCATTAGCGAAATTACCTGTGGTTTTATTATTTTACAACAACTCTGAAAATTTTGGTTGCATTAATTTTGCTATCTATTTTGAATGTATTATAACCAGTTGTAATATATGTATATAAAATTTTCAAGTAATAAAAGGTTTATCTTTAAAAGTATGATTATGATTTATTTTTGTGATTAAATCGTTACAAATATCTATTTGTTTATCCCGAATTTTTTGGGTTTCTTTTTAAAATAAGGTAACATAACGAATATTTGTTAACTATTGAAAGTAGAAGTGCGAGCGTGCCAACCTGGTATTTGATAAACGCCTTCTTTATTTTAGAGGATTATACCGATTAAACTTAGACACCAAGAATTGCAACTATATTTACAGGATACAACCGTTACAGGACTAGACTTTCGTAACTTGATTCCATTGCACCTCAAGTTTTGTTCATAGTGTATAGATGCTAGTCATTAAGGTTAGTTAAATTCCTCTCACTATTAATTAATAATCTGCCTTAATGTATATAAATGACAAACCTAGCCTTTGGAACACCAATGTTATTGTTTATTTGTTGTATATGTTGTATATGTTTTAAAACCTATCATAATGTCAATCTTTAATATGAATCTTTTACACGTATAATTAAATTATTTTTGTAATTAATTGGTACTTAGAACCACTTATTGTACCAATTATACGAGTTCAAATAGAAACGGTCGAAGAAACTATGTATATATTCAAAGTTAAAAAAACCCCATCTTAATAAAAAAGATCATGCTGTAATATGTAACTCATACGAAATGTGTGTTAAAAATTTTGTGTATTTATGTTTTTTGATAATATACGTCTTTATATTTTACTATTGAGAGTAAAAATATAGAAGTAACAGCGTTGGGCCTAAATATTTAATAACTGCTTACTAAAGGTAAGAAACTTATTTTTTCTATTTTACTTGGTCTCTTAAAATAATATCAAAACGGATTCACAATATTTCTGCTACCCTTAAGAGTGTTCTAAAAAATCTGCAATGAATAGAATTTTGTAAAAGATGCTTTACAAAGATTATAGTGAAAAATATTTATACATATTATAAGATATTATAAATCAATCATGTGACAGAAATAAAACTGAAAGATGGTTCAGTAGTTATATATGAGACAACTGTCAAAGATGTCTCGCGGTAGGATTATTAAGTCATCATTGCTGGGAATAGGTTCCGTAATCCAATATAGGCTTGAACATTTCCGATCGTCCCCAGAGCGTTGCAGTTGACTGCCACAGTTTGTATCTTATGTTCAACGTACTATACAAATACTCAAAGGAAATTGTCTTAGGGTAAATTAGATCGAAGGTAATTTTGTCATTACATTTGAGACTTACAAATTCTATTCATCTATGTAAATATAACTCATAAAATGTACTCTTTGTTGTGGTGTTACGAGTATCATGTTGAATATCATTAAAATTTATTTGTGTACCTTGTTACTGTTATAAATAGTAGTGTTTATAGCTAATGAGTTAATACAAAATTTAAAATCAATGAAAAATAATTAAATAATTTGAAGTCAAATAAACAGGTGCATTTAGAACTTAAAATTTAATTGTAATTTATCATTGATTTTATCATATAAGTAAATACAATCACATTGATATGCACAACAGTTCTTGATTTTCAACTCTGATCCACAGAAGACTCACAGAGCAAGTTTGCGTAATAATATTCAAAGCGCATACATCGCTATCGACGTATATTTGTTTACAAGCACGTTATCCGGGGAATACCCTTAGCGCCGTCCGGTTACAATCTGCATAACAATTCTGCAATAGTTTCCCTACAGATGGATGATAATGCTCTATTCATAATTTAATTTTAAATACTGTGTTTTATCTAATTAAAAATTATAAGCTTGTGGTCGGATTTGTCAGCCTGAGCGAATCTATCTAAAAAAGTATGTAATGTTAATGATTAAGATAATTTAGAACCTTTAAAAGTCAACAACTACAAACGTCAATCACCCTATTTTATTTTTTGCACAGCTTATCGTTACGTGCATATGGAAACGTATATTTATGTATGTTTATATCTTCTATATATATTGTTATATAAAGATACCCTTAAAAAGTTCAACAAATATGTCAATAATTTTGGTGCTCTAAATATTTATTTTTGTTTTTAGTTGATGTTGTTATTCAAAGCAGTGTATTTTATGTATATTACTCTTTAAAGTTTAATTTAGGAATGTTATTTTTTACCATAATCAATATTATCGACACACTATATTTCCTTCAAAAGATTATATGTATTATTAGAAGCCGAAGTGCTGTTATAAATTATCGAAGGCTTTATAATTGAATTTCATAAGATTTTCCACAGAATGGGTCAGTGCCTTTTAAAGGTCTATAATTAAATGGAATTTCTGTTCTCAATATAATAGTTTCACCAAGTATAAAGGTTGATACCGATTGAATTGAATTTTCTTTATATTATTTTCGCTTCCATTTTTCTAAGTTTATAATGAGCAATTTTTGTTTTGACATGTTATTGTATTAAATTGAATTAAAGTTTATAGCGTGTAGTTGAAATAATATTATACTATTAAACTTATTTCATTACAGACCTTGAAGAGGAATAATTGAAACAAAATGAAATAAAACAATTTTTTACATTATATTATATTGTTTATAGTGGTTCGCAGGCATACATTCATTACATCATATGCAGATACATGCAGCGTAGATAAAATCTACAATTTCTAATCAAATTATGGTTTATTTATTGACACCGATGACTGGTTTTGTGTATATAGTTCTACAAACGTACCTACTGGCTTAACATACTTAAATTATATGACTTAGTTGGTTTATAAATTCAACAATGTTTAATTTAACAATTAATTAATTATATTTTTGTTTTGCAATATACAATACTTATAGTTATGCAAAGATTTTATACTCAACTTTTACATACATCAATAAACGTTACGAGAATTATACAATTTGCTTACAGTCTTATTAAATAACTTTTTACATTTAAGGTTTCGTCTGTATAGCAAACTAAAATTCTAAGAATACATTTATTAAAATGTATGGAAACAAATTATTCATACAAAGTTGTATTAATAAACATTTAAAAGAATATCTTCGATACATTAAATGTTAAGCTGGATTATGACACATAAGCGCCAGTTTATGGGCTAGCTTAACAACTTTCAATTTAACTTACAATCACAAATTCACAATTACGTTGGTCATAATATATTTAGACTCATAGCGACATACATTTTTCAATTGTTTATAAGGAAATGGTCTATACGTTATTCAATCTCTAAATATTATATACAACAGGGGACATAAATAAAAACATCAATGGTATAAGAACTTGGAAGAACAATAATACTTGAAATATACGAGTAGTAATTAGGAGTTTAACATATCAGGTATACTGATACTAAAAACATTACGTACGATGTGGCTTTACTCGATGATGCCTTAGATGGACCGCTTTCTCCAAGAAAGCTGACGTCTTCACGATGACCACCTTCACGGAGTGATCCTTGGAGACTGGATCTGACGTCATTTGTTTCTTCTAATTCTGAATCCCTTTCATCATCAGGACGCGTCTTTCGATATGGCAATTCCATTTCTAATAAATTTCCCAAAACTCATTAGTAATAATTTAGGGAAGTTAAAGTTTCATAGTAATATACAATAATAATAAAAAATTGTTTTAACAAGAATAACACTCCATATTTATGTAAACTTTTTGCAGCAATTACGAAATTCTTTGAACAACTTAATGATTTTCTAAGTTGATAGAATTATAATGTTTAAAATAAATATTATGTTATGTTAATATGTATTATATTTAATAGAAATAACGTTCCGATGAAAGCTGGAGGTTTGAAATGTTTTTATGACACTTGTTATTTCATTTACTTTAAATCAAACATAGTGATGAAGAATATAATACTGTCCAGATATAATGTTGTAATAACTTACCATATAATCTAATATTTCCCTCGGCGTCCCCAATGGAGTTTTTCGATATACACTTGTATCCACCAAGGTCGTTACGCTGTATGTTCCGTATAACAAGCCTCATCTGAACACTATACGCTGAACTGTTTATCTCGCTCATCTCATACTTGTCGTTTGATATTATCATTTCACCTACGAAGATAAATTTTTAGATATTAAAGTCGTAATTAAAGTTATTTCATTCATATTTTAATATCAATAAAATTGAGTCCTTGGTATCGACAAAAGAACTAATCACAATAATATTGTTATCTATCTATAAATGTTTAGCTGATCAATTAAATAAAAATGATACAGATTATTATCAATAGATATTCCCAAGCTTCGATACATATTATTATTATGTCTATCTAAAGGTTCTTAGAATTGATAATCGTTTTCCTTAGGAATTGTTATAGTAGTAAGTTCCATGGAATTTTTATATGAACCGGGAGAGAAACAAAAGTAACGTCTTGTTGTTACATAATAAATATAAATTGTCACATGCCTGTTATGTCTGTATTCATACACAAGCTTTCCTTTATTCGATAAGCAACATGGTTTTCCGATCATTTATATTCGGGAACTTCCGACCATTGTTTGCGATAGGGTAGTGAAATATGTTGTTTTGATATATTCTATGAACAGTATTGCATGTGGCATTGAATAAAATATCATATATGACTATATCATCATATAATCATATAACATTTTTTTATCAACAAAACATTGAAGTTGTGTAACATGTGTAACGATATCTTTTTTGTATCACATCTTACAACGTGTAAGTAGCCCGCTAAGTGTTCTCTATATATTATTATGTCTTAAGAACGTGTAAAGAACGTTTAAAACGTGTAAAGACTAAGTCAGTTCTCCGATTTTCTGAATTTACGTTGTTAGCTACATTATTACCGCGGTCGGAGGTCACGTCGTTCCACCGCTCTACATTAAAAATTGCTTGCATTCTTCTTATTTGGTTTATATTTGTGGGTGTTTTTTATTTTCCATCTCCACTGCTGTGGTATATTTTAGTAAAGAGATTTAATTGAATTTTTGTTCAAAGAAAGATATTTCATATCGTCTATATTAAAATCATTAGGCGTAAAAGGTTTTTGGTTCAGATTAAATAGAATAATAATTAAAACGTTACGACAAAGTTGAGGTACTCTTTGATCAAAAATATCAAAACGTAACTAGGCTACGACAAGTTATAATTTAAATTTTCTTATAATTAAGACTTTTGTATTTATTAGCATTCTAACCGTAAAGACCTTACGTAAGACTGAAACAAGAGATTGATAAAAAACAAATCCGTGTCTATAAATGTAGCTGTAATTATAGAAGATAAATTATTAATCATTGAAAGCTCATTAATAAGGGCCGGACAGGCAGGCGTTGGGCTTGAGTCCTTGTGAGCTGACCACAAATCTGCGGCCCATGGTGCAACTGACACCTTGATGCCAGCCTGCGACGGACACGCCCTCTTTTGTTTATTACCCGACAAGTTTATTAATTAATTGCCGATGCCAATGCCAATTGCTTCTATACGTTCTCTTCCCTATTCAAGTAAATAAAGTATGTATTGAATTGTATTGAATATTTCGATAGCATTGTTATTCTGTATAACCGAATGTCTTATTGTTAATTAATTATATCTTAATGTTAATAAACTGTAAACGATTAATATTTAATATTTTATGCGTTGCAATTTTATATTTTTCGTTAATGAATTTTAAATTTTCTATGTATATTTGAATAATTGATCAGAACAATTAAATTGAAAATAATGTGATTTGATGATAATAAAAAGTAAACGGTTTGGTACTGGACACTCCCATTCCATGTCATCTGAAGCTCCCTAGCCGCTTGACGCTCGTCACGCTTGTGTATTACCTAATTTAATTTGTACTCCACGAAATTTATGGCCGGCAAATGTCTACCCGTCCGTCACCTATATTTGCCACTGTTAGCTGTACAAACAAATGAGTTTATTACCAAATACTAGTTTCTCTTAACTTTGTTCCAGACAACATAAAACTCTCTTGTTTATTTCCTGCTTTGAAATGAATAGCAGCGCTCATCTGCGGCGGCTATCTACTTAGTTCTCTACATACCACATTATTGTAAAGTGTACAATAGAAAAAAGGGTCAATGAGTAATTTGTTATTTAAAAATAATTACTTTTTCTACAAGATGATGAACGCCATTTTTAATATGGAAATGTATAGAGAAATTCAAATGTAATTACACTAATGAGTGAATTTATAAAATGTTCTTTCTGTCCAAACCCAGAAAATGTTATTGAGAAGTGAATATAAAATTGAATTTTATTTGCCCGAATATTGTGGTATATGCGAGTAAATACGTGACTGTAGCCTAAAGCAATTTGAAGCGGGCGGTCCAGCGGTCTTTGTTGCATATCGGGCGGTAATAGAATTTGGTTCGCTTTTTGCGCGGTTGGTCGCTCTGACCGCGTAATGGCGGGCTTAGTGCCCTTTGTAACTATATCTAAATCTGCTCGACGACTATGTATCCTAGTTATGATATACGATTACATCGTGTTTGTATGATGTCATTTTTGCGAAGATGTGGCTGTAATAGACTTGTTATTCTTGTTTTATTTGAAGGGAACCCGGTTGGAAGCGTTAGTTCTGTATAGAAAGAAATGTTTTTTCTATTTGTAGGTTCCTTACTTCTGTATGCTTGTTTAATATTTTGATATGTTGGTTGTTTTTCATAAAATGGTTTCGTTTCACATATATATGTATATTCCAAAATATTAATTGAGTTGCAATATAGTATTAAAAACATATTTTATAATAAATTAGAAAACTGTTACAATTTTTTGTTTCATTGCATTTTTCATTATTACATAAATCCAATTCAAGATAATAATTAATGAATATATACAAAACATCCGCTTGCATAAGTAGTGCACTACTAGTAGATCGAAATAGTTTAAAAACAATTTAACAACCGCATTGCGAAAAAGTTTTATACGTTTTGTCGGTTCAGGGCAGCTGCTTTTCCCTCACACATGTCGTGGATGCAACGAATACCGTAAATCCATTCCTAACTCGACTTTAGTGGCCAAGCGTTGTCGTGTGGAAAACGCACTATCCGAATATTGGCGCCTCTAGAACGTTTCTCTGTTTGCATTAGCTGCATTCGAAAATTGCACTTTAAAATTCGTAGTGTTTGCATTCCTCTGAATTGTGTACATAGCTTTAAAATCCTGGTTTATTTCTTTTTCATATTCAAAGCTCTACCAACAGTATTTGATTAAATAAATCTTGGGATTGACGTTCTTAACATTTTCCATGTTAATTGAAAATATTAATTGCATTCTATGTTGCTTTTCGGTGAAAGTATTTTTCTTTCTCTGTCACCTGGACACTGAATAAATAACTTTCATCTTCCAGTGTCATTATAATGAGGAGTAATGAAGTTGCCAACCTTCTACGAACGTTTTCTTAGGCTGAGAGCCCTATTTGTATTAGTTAGGACGTGTTTTTGTACGGTTTTCTTATTCGTCGTTGTTTAATTTTGAGTTCTAAGTAAAACATTCCATTATTTTACGCTTTATACTTTTTGGAACTCCTATAACTTCTATATCTCGAAGAGCATTCGGTACAATAAGAATTTCATTATATAGCATGTATTAATAGGTATATCAATAACCACGTTTAAAATTTTTATTTTTAAACGCTGCGGTTATTAATTTTTCTCGTTTCAGCAATATTTTACGCTGTCATCCCTTCGTATAATTACGGGCCGTTAATAAGCCGTAACATTGACGCTATGTAATCAAAGTCAAAATAAATCGTCACAAAATGAAAAACGTTCATGAAATTAGAGTATATTTTATCTGTTTTTAAATATAGCTATAAAATATTGCAACTTGTAAGCAAGCACTAGCCCCTGGCCTGTCGAGGAAGATAGTAGAAATATGAATAACGGTCTCTTTAATGACTACTTTAACGCTTTCAATGTGCTTTATGAATAATGAAATTAGTTGCTTATTCCGTTCTTGAGTTTCGTGCCTGGGACTTAATAAGCTTTATGAATTACGAGCTCGTAAAACATCTGACTGCTCTTTATGTTTAACTTAATCAAAGATTTTTTTCGGCCTTCAGCAATACAATCCTATTAATTATATGAAGTGTTTTACTATTCTTTCCCGCATTTATTTATATTACATACTATTTTTTCTTCATATAACCAACATTCTGTTTATGTATAAAAGGCTATCTTACCATTCTCCCTTGTCCAATAGTTGATGGCTTTTGGGGATGCCTCAACATGACACTGCAAAGTGACATCGGTTCCTGTCGGAGCTCCAACCAGTTGATTCGGCACTTGTACTAGCGGATGAACTGAAACAAACCGTCTCTTTTTATATATTTATACTGTGTTTTGAATGGAACAACATTTCAAAATCAAACAACAACTGTATATAACAAAGATGGAACTCATCTTCCAGTGAATATCATGTTAGACAAATTAGATAGCTTTCTTTTTACAAATAAAAACTATAGTCATTTAGATGCAATCATAGATATTCTTATCAAGAAATTACATTTCGAAACATGAACAAAATTGTTGCTTAAATTTTAATTAAAATTAAAATATTCAAATAGGAGTACTAAAATGTTTGTTGCATTTTTGAAATCTTATATAATCTGGTATGTTCCACCATGCACGAATTCACAAATTGTGGAGAGTTAATGCATTCTTACACATATATGCTTTTTTCTTTTATCGTATACTTATTTAAGAAAATTTTAAAACTGTAAAATAGACGAGATAAATATTTAATAAAAGTCTTGTCATACGGTAGTTTAGAGTATTACTTCCAGCAACCGTGTTATGGGATTAAGCGTTGAAGAGCAATTTGCATGTACTGGAATTTGTTAACATTTGCACTGTGTTATGTGACAGTTATATTACTACAAGAGAATACTTATCAGTTAAAGTTTAATAATACAATATAAAAAATACATTCACTGTAAAAGTTAAATATAACAAACAAACGAAACGAAGTGCTTTTGTTATTTTAAATAAAATTTTGGCACTTTAATATTTTTGCAACCTCTGTGTTAATAAAACAGCCAACCGTTTACGTTGACCAGCGGTTCGCGATAAAGCACTCAACATAACGCTGTTTTATTTATATTTATACATTTTCATATTTAATCAGGATATAATAGAGTTTATTATTCATTGGAGTATATTGACGAATTCAAGCTCACTTTCCAAATATACTACATAGATACAGTTCGGTTAAGCCGCATTTTTGTTTACACAACATCCTATTTGCATTTATTTGCACTGCTGTGTTTGCGTTTCAAGCTAGATGCTGTAAAGCCTTTTGCATTTCGCACAGTTGTACGCATCTACGCTCGCCGCAGACATTTAATGTTATTTAGTTTGGCATGCGATACTTTACATTAAACGCGGCTGTTACATTTACCGGGCTCATAATTAAGTACTAATTGCTTCCTAGACCGGCTTTGTAATATAAAATTACGCAGAAAATGGTTTAGATTATTTCAATTTAAATCGTTACAAAACACCCCATATTTAAGTTTATAGATATTTGGTTTTCTATTAAAACTTTAATTTTTGTGTCACATTGCTTTCGAGTTGTTTGCATAAAGCATCGTTCAGGTGATGTTATTACTTTGCACATAGATTAGAATTATTTTATCATATTTATGTGATTGGTTTTCAATATTTAAAAATTGAAAGTTATTATTCAAAATATAAATAATTTTTTAAATATATAATATTAAAATAATAAAAACAATACATAGGAATAAAGTTGATTATTAATATTATTTTGTTCCAATAAAATGTGACGCATGTCGTAATATGATGATGAGGAGTTGAAATCCATCGTATTTTAGAAAACAATAAGAGTTAACCGGACATATTATATATTTTTTAAGATATTTAATTTTATTTCTTCAATATTATTGTTGCTGCTTTATTTATTAATATGAACAGCATAAAATACTTATAATGGTCTAAGAAATTAGATTCTTCATTTCTTACCTAAAGTAATGTAATTACATAGCGTCTGTCAAGTTTGCTTTGAACATTACGTTGGAACCGTACTTGTGTTAGGTTTGGCTTGTCATCAGACTAACAGTTTGTTCGCAGATTAAACTAACCGCTCCATTTCCTTATCTCTTGCCAATTAATTAAAAGTAATGTTCTTAATAATGAAGATACTGTAATAAAGTATTGTTGAACATCAGCGACAAGTCGATAATTAAAACCCTTATTTACATTGCATTCATAGATTTCAATGTAAAGGTTACTTATTTCAATTCCTATGTAAGAAAATATTCTCTTCAATATTTTGTATGATGATTGTAAATAAAAATAATTATTGTATTGAAACTTGTTCGTTGTTTTATGGCCACCACGACCTGGTCGTGGTGGCCTTGAGGTTAGAGGCCCACCTCTCGTGCATGAGGGCGCTCGTTCGAAATCTGGCAGGTATTAATATAATTTTTTAGAGATTTATGTACTTTGTAAGGGTATTTAGATAGCATTGATAGATGGCAAAGGAAAACATCGTGAGGAAACCTGGACTTATAATTTCAAATTATAAGTTTGAAATCATCTAACGGTCTTGAGCAAGCCAGGTGATTAATGCTCAAACCTTCTACATGTGAGACGATGCCTTTGCTCAATAGTAGGCTCTGATAGGCTGATAACAATTGTTTTATATCTCTTTAAAACAACCGGAACTTTTGTTTACTCCATATTTGTTTGTTGCTATTGATCACCAAGCTATGTTTAAGGAACATTGCTTTTATAAGAATATTATCTTAAATAGGTTAAATGTCTTATTTTTGGAAACTTCATGAGGTGTTAAAAAGTTGATGCTCTTAAAGCCTTAAATTCTAGTTCGATTAAAACAAAACATTTTTTGAAGAAGAATACTATGCAATCTTATCATTTGCTTAATTAATCATGATTATAAAATTTTAGTTCCCTTCAGTCTAATTACTATTAATAGAGCCAGTTTCCGTTATAGTTTTTTTTAACATAAAATAATTTAGGTACATTGCTAAAACAATTGGTAGGGCTGATAACTTTGTTTTAAATGTACAAGCATTTATTTTAATTCTAAAACACAAAAATTTAAGAAAAAATATTTTTTTTACATAGTGTCTTTATAATGAAATAATAAGTTCATACATCTCAAAATATATATCACAAGGTATAAATTATATTAAATAAATAATAATTCATTACCAATTTAGAGTATTTCTCTACTTATGATTTTTTGATTCTAAGCAATAGTTTTTTAACAACTCTTTATATCACGTCTATTTTGATATAAAGTCATTGCAAAGTAATTTTACTTAAATTGAATGAACGAATGGATTACGTAATGAATGTAAGTAGACGTAACGGCATCCCTTGAACACTGCTTAGAGTGAATTACGGAAAGAATTTTCTCCATCGGCTCCAGATCGCAGCTTATTTGCGGTTATTCTCTTTGACCGTCGTTAAGATCTTTTGGACGGCTTTTACGACTTCGAGTGGCCAATTTAGAGAACAAAATCTGGGCGATCAGAATTTTTGTCCTAATTAATAACTCAACGTTCAACAAGGCAGCCTTTTGCTTGATAAATAAACCGGAATAATGAGGGCTACTTTCAAATAGCCATTTAAAATAAGGATAATATAAACTTTATACTGTAGTTTCAAAAAATTCAGTTATTAAGAATTTCCGAACGCATAATAGATTAGAATTCTCCGTAGCAATCAAAAGTTACCGGAGTTTTCTCGGGTAGAATTCCGCGCGGAATTCTTGAAGTGACAGTTTGATTAACCGAACGGCGTACACGCTAAGCCATTTTCGTATTTCTTGGTGTTTTGTAGTCAGCACTACCTTGAGCTGTAACCAGATTTTATTTCAGCTTTTTAGTCAACCGGATTTCCTGTTTTAAAGTATTTCTAGACTACATTGTGTGGAAACAAATTTATGGTTAACATATATTTTACGAATACAGAATCGAATAAAACACTTAATTTTAGAGTTTTCGGATAAATTATTCGTTTCTGTAAAGAAAGAAATAAATAGCTTAAAAAAGAGAAACTTTTTATCTACTTAGAAACGTAATTTTTATATTAAACTGAGAGACTCAAGAAAATTGATTACGATTTGTTCACTTCGTTGGAGCTTTTCTTTTCTCTAAACTCATTTACCTACCTCGAAGGTCCCACTGAATCAACTAAAAGAAACTGCGTTACGTGGCACTTACTGTTACAAATGAATTGCTTAAAAAGTGTTTTTATGTTCCCATCGAGCTGCCGCAAGTCCTCACCTTGATAGGCTGTTATCATTTGTTTTCGAGAAGGAAATTTAAATTAAATATTTGAGGGCGTTAATTTTGTCTCCTCATCGAGCGAAAGCGACGCATTCTTTGCGAAGTAATTAAACTGAGTGGAAGGGTTTTCAGGCAGTAGTTTTTGTTTGTGCGGCTCAAATTACGTTTCCTATGAAATAAATTTCTCTTCGTTGTCACTGACAGGTGGTTTTAGCATAAGTTTTATGGACTTGACTCGAAAGTGGTTATTCTTGATATGTTGATGTAAATTTTCTATTACTTTTTCCCATACTAATCTGTCAGAACGTACTGTAATTTAAATGTTGAAAACAAAACAATGTTGAAAATATGAAACAATATATGTATGTTAATTAAAATCTTAAAACAAAGTTCTTGTAAAGTGGGTTAATATTCACGTATATACGGGCTAGTCCAATCAGACGAGTGTATACACCGGCACTGCCAATAACTAAATGCAAATACCTAGTGGACAACACGTCCAATTCGGTGGCCAAGCTTCGCAAAACTTTTACACATATTGAACTAAAACCGAAAGTAGACAGAGCCAATTCATGAATTTAGAACAGTTAATTAAAGCATGAAAAACGTTTTTTGATGCTTATTGCAGAAATTAAATCTATTTACATTTTAGTCCTAAATTTGACTTGTTATATGAAAATTTATTACAACTTAGGCTATAAACATTTAATAATTGATTGAATAAAGTTTTAATAATTTTTCCTTTGAACACAAAGTTATGTAATTTTTTTATAAAGTTTAAAAATTAATGTTTTAAGCTCCTTTCAGCATCTTTTTTTTTTTGCAGTAGTTCAGTACCTATTTACCTAGTCACTGGTTACATATTCCTTAGTAATGTAACAAGCTGTCGTAAGCATAATATTTGTTTTTGTCTTGTGAGTAGGTATCAAAGCTTTTGATTCTGTTCTATTTTTATATGAATTCAATTTCACCTTGTTTCGACCATAAATTTGCCAAAGAAAACGTTTAATATGTTGACACAATAACGTATGCAGCCAAAAGGTACAAACACAACTCCCCATTTTAGTTTCAGGTTTTCAGGTTCAGTATAGTTTTAGTAAAAAGTGGTCAGCGGTAAAATGTTATACGACGCAAAATTATATAATAGTATTCTTTTCGGGTTCTGCTACAACATTCGTTGCATAAAAATATATTCAGTTATCACCCTCTTAGTTACATCCGCTTTTAACAATCTCATTTATTTCACGTTTGTAGATTCATAAAGTCATTAGAATATCTTATGTTATATTAATTGTAAAAAAATCTTGTAATAACGTTTTTAAAATTTAAACAACGTTGATCGAATACTTTACCTAACCGCTATTTTTGGAGGTTACAGATTCAAAATAAGATCGGGTCGATGAATTTTTATCCTTTGTTTCGTACTTGAACAAAAATTTATTTGTCAAATTTATCAATAAATTTCGTCAATATATTAAGTAAACATAATTGTTATAGATTATTTTAATCGCCTAATCTGGGATAGGAGAGTATCGACAAACAAGTGATAGTGAACAGAGCACTCAACACGGATCTGATCCGATTCAAATTCATGACACGCCTCGAAGATGATACGTGATAACAGGAAAAGCTCCCAATTGCTTACGTGTTTGAGATGTTGGCCCACTACTGTTGCCCTTCAGACGGAGCATAATATCACTTACAAATTAGCTCGAAGATCGAGGATAAACGACGATGCTTCTGGCTCATTGGAATACGCAGGTGAGATTTTATCGTTGAATGAATTGATTCGCGTCCTGAATGCGTAATGAATACAATCCTATTTCTTCTGGGGTCGTTTTCAGGGTTAATCTTTCATAATTTACTCTTGTAATATACATATATCTAGTTATCTAATTATTCATATATTGATCTATAGATTTGATATTTTATATGACAGCAAACTTAGTTGTGGTTTAAATGAAAAACACATTTTAATATAAACTTACAGTGTACATGAAGCATTATCCTTTTGCTTACAGAAGGTGGGACTCCGTTGGCTGCGATGCACAGATATGCTCCCATCTCGGACCTCGTCACTTTAGTGAGGTTTACGATCTCACCCTCCAGTGAAGTCACTGTTCACAAAAAAAAAAATATATGAAAATTGTAACTATGAGTGACTAAGATAATATTAATTTAAATTGTGAAAGCTGTCTGAAAATCTTTATAGAGTAACGCAAATAATTTTAGCATATTTAATTTAGGGTAGATAATTTAGTAAATTTCAGATCTAGAACTGTCCTTTCTTTTATTTTGATATTTTCTTTCTTTAGGAATCGAGGCGTCGGGAGTATATAGTTTTAAAATAATATAATCTTGGATATCATTATGGACAAAAATTGTGTAATTTTAATTAGTTATCAAGTTAATTATCAATAAAATTGATTTGTTCCATAAATTATAAGAAAATCAAGACAAAGACGAAGAGTAGTCTTTCTTTTTACACGAATATCAAAATAAAAATATGGTAATGTTTATCACGGTGTAAAATATAAATTTTTGAAATGGTACAATAAATTTGAAATTACCAGAGGAAATAAATCGAAAGTTAGATTCATCCATTTATTCATTAAAGATATCTGTTTTCGTTTACGCATAAGTAGTTTAGTGTTTAGGTGTTTTATTGATAGAGATTTAATTAATAAAATTTAATTTTAGCATCAACATATGGAACTGGATGAAAAATAAATTTATAATTTATTATTATGTGTTTTTGAGACATCATATTAGTTTATAATAGCTTTATGGAAGAAGGATGTCTTTATATAAAGCTGCTTAAAATAAATTGTTATTTAATAAAAAAAATCATTTGTTATTGTTTTTATCATTACCTTAATGTAAATGTAAAGTATGGAGTACAGTAAAGCGTAAGAAAATATTACTTTGTTTTTATAAGCACATATTTGATATGCTAAATCAGTCAAACCCTAAAGTTATGACTACACGAAAATATAACGAACGGTTATTTTCAATTTCCTTTCAATACCATGTAAATACATTTTATGCTTACAAGTTACACAAGTCAAAACAAACATACGGATGTAGTGCTTACTTTACATTTCACCAAGAAGTCTATGAAAACACTCCGAAACGCCAAAGTAGACAAGCTTTGATAAACAAGTGCGGTTAGTGGTTTCAACTTGAACTGTTTTCCTGACACCTTGCTCAAATGGCACCCAAGTACACAGCCATTATTCAAACAAGAGGATAAAAAGGAAGGGCAATATTTTTCGAAGGAACTGAAGGGAGTGATGGTTTAAAGTGTAGAGCTCTTGGTCGACCGAAGTGCCACGCTTCGTTAGCAAACAATTTGGAACACACTTTATTGGAGTAGTATTTATTTTATATCAGAAATGTAATAGTCTGTAACTCAAAGGTTTCGATGTCAATGTTTACACATAAATAATATAAAAAAAATTGTTTAGAGACTAAAATTCTTCTATAAATCTAGCTATTAAGAAAAAGTAATACTGCTTTTAAATATTATCTTTCTACGTTCATCAGTTGAATTTTAAGAAAATTAATACTCTAAATCACTGTTTGTATAAGATTATGATGCTTAAATTCGACCCGTTTGCGTTATTAAAATGATTATTAAAATTCCACTCCACGGAATTCTTGTGCTCGTCTGCGATGGGTCGTTGAATAAACTTGGCCTGTCGATGTGTCATAAGTCAAGTGACGTTTGAGCTTCTCGGACTTAGGGTGGCAATAAGGATGGCAAAGCTTGAAGAGGGCCTCCTATGAAAAATTTATAGTGGACTATTAATTTAATTAATTTTTATCTATTATTCACGTTAATTTCGTTTTTTACGCTCATAAAGACTTTAATGGAATTTATAAATGAAGATACTAGTAAACATCTAAGAACACATAATAAAAGAAGCTTTAAAAAACATTATTAACAAAATATTTACAGTTGGAATGAGAAAAAATTAATTTATAAATACTGTTTATCAATCACAATAACGTTTTGTGGAAGAACTTCGGATAATTACTTTGTAGGTTGTTATCAAACGTAAGATTTAACATTTTGGAAATAGCCTAAAGGAAAATGGAAAAGCAACATCTCATTGATCCGTCCTTCAAAGTTAAATTTTAATTAGAATTTAAAATATGTTACTTCTCAATATCGTCACATAAAAGTTTAAATTTTTAATGTTTCGAACTAAGTATGCATTTAAAAAACAAAAGTTAAATTTATGAAATTTATCTGAGCTAGAAAATAAAAGAGTTATTCGTTTCAAATATAATAAAATTAATATCTGTTTGAAACTTTACTCTGTAGATGAAAAGCTTGAAATAGGATGTTGGAGTTAATTTGCACTAGTCTCAGACTAAGTTTCAAACATTCGTTCACTTATCTGCATAATTTGTTGTAGAACATGAAACAAATAGGCACGCGACACGCTGTCACCGGCATATTTTATGTCAAACAATAAGGGACAATTTTAGAATAATACGCTATTGTTAGAATAACAAAACTCATTATCTTTACAATTATTACTTATGTTACGTATTTACATCACAAAATACAAATCTTATTGTGTGATGGGGTCTTAATATTAATATATAAGTAGAAGTATAAGTTTAAAGATATAATGCCGAATATCTTTTAGAAGTTGTAAGTGATTTATGCTACCATACTTTGTAAGTTTGTTGTAACAAATTTCAAAGCGTCGTTCCCTGTCGTTGAAAAACTATATTTGTCGTGTCGGACACCCCTCGAACTTTGCTCATTGGAATATTCTCCCAAGAAACATTCGTTCCGTAATGGATAGTCTGTATTGTTTTCTGCCCAGATTTATGGAGGTAACTCGTAACGGCTTCTTTAATTAGACTTCTTCACTTAAATTGATGATTGTTTCTGACGTGAGTAAATTAGAAAACGGTTGCTGGAGCCGAGGCGTATTGATTTACTAATTGAGCATTTGAGTATTGAGCATTTGATCGACTTAATTACTATAATTGATAGGAGCTCAGTGTTTGTATGTACTTTAAATTGCATGATATTTTCTTAATTAAAAGCTTAGAAATAAATTGGAGTTGTGTAATCTAAGTTGTATAGCGATGGTTTCTCTTTAGAAGTCATTACCGGTTGTACTTTGTTAGTTTAATGAATTGACTGATGGCAGAAGGAGGTCTTAGCGGTGGTGGGGTTAAGTAGGACCTGCCGATTAATCACCCCGTCAGTACAGTTTCCAATTGCTACTCGTCACGAATTCCCCTCAGCAGTGGCTATAATTAGAGTTTCTTGTATCAATAATAATTAAACACTGTATTACTAATGCAAATACAAGTTAATTCAAGGTTACGTAAAAGGAATTCTATGCTCGCTATATAAATTTTTGTTCTTGTATTGTCAATCAAGTGTCTACTTAAAACTAAATATGAAGTTACTTTATATGTATTCATTTTATTTAGAATCAATGTAATTATAAAAAAAATTGACGCAAATCAAATGAAATCTAAACCCTCAAGATTTTTATTAAAGTTTTAATTTTCATGTTAAAGTGAAAAAGTGTTTTTTTTGAATGTTTTTAAGAAAAATTACAAAAGAGATGGGCTATAGTACTAGTTTGGAATGTTCACTGTGGAGATAGTAACCTCGATGTTAATATTTCTCTGTACGGAATTCATAAAGGCGGTTTACTTATATTATATACTAGCTTTCCGCCCGCAGCTTCGCCGGGTGGAGTTCGGTTATATCGCGTTTCCAAGAGAACCTTTCAAAAGTCTGGGATAAAAACTATCCTATGTTCTTTCTCAAGGTCAACTCTATCTCTGTACCGAATTTCATTAAAATCAGTTCAGTGGTTTAGGCGTGAAAGCGTAGCAGACAGACAGACAGACAGACAGACAGAGTTACTTTCGCATTTATAATATTAGTAGGGATTAAAATAAGTCATTTACATCATGATATTTAAAGAATTAAATTTAAAGTTGGATGGGACAGTAACTATACAGTAAGTATTGCTGAAAAGTATGACGTAGAAGTGTTAATATCTGTACGTTAAATATTGACCGTATTAGTTGAAATGTTAAGACTTAATACCAACGCTACAGCTATTTTTAAGAGTTTATGACCAGTCAAAGAATAAAAAGGAAATTATAGAACAAACTAAGTATAGAATACAAACTTAAACTTTCCAGACAATACAAACACGTTGGCAAACTTTAAATCCAATGTTGAAAATGGTAATGATAATATATTTTTTTTCTATCTACATTCATTACTTAATAAATAAATGAATAAATTTAGACACAACGAAAAGAAAAGACATTGATAATATAGATTTCAAATAATAATTAAAAAGTTTAAATAACAATATAATTCTTTGGACATTCAAATTTTATTGAGTATAAAGACGAGTAGGTGAGTAATTATTCCCGGGCGGTCTGGAGATTGTAATCTCACAGGATTAGAAAGTGCGGTGTGAATGGTAATAGCAGCTCCCCGAGCTGCGGTCTGATTTACGGCTAAGATTCAATAGTGAATATTTTAAGAGTTGATTTATTCGTTGCTCATTTATTGAAAGTCTTAAGCAGGTACTTAATACATGATTCAAATGTTACTAAGCCAGACTTCAGTGAATGTGTTGTTGTTTTAATGATTTGCAAAATTACTATTAAGTTTTAAAGTGAAATATTGCAGTTGAAAACGTTAATTTCGTACAGATTATAAAATAAAAGAAACTCGACAATTAATAAAGATCATTATCAAATAGAAAATTATAAATAATATTTTATTTATAAGGATTATAATAAAACTAATTTTGTAATAAAACTCTATAAACAAAGAACTTTTATTATGGTCGGAGATTAACGTGCAAATAAGATATTTAATTTATTGTAATAAGTAATTTTAAAAATGTTATACCTAAATACGACTTCTCTAGTCCATGATAATAATCTTCATAAACATATATTTCCTTAAGGTACCTTATTAATAATGGCGGGGCACGCAAACGCTTAGTCATAAAATTTGCATGATATCCTAGACCTATAAATTCAATGTTATTTCATGATTTATTTAAAATAGAACACGTCTGAATTGTATTTTTATCTTTAATAACTAACGAGTATATCAATGGTAATTTATGAAATGTAATAATGATATTTTTATTACTTATACATATGTATATGTTTCGGATCTTGTGCAATATTATAAAGTTATTATTTGAATACTTAAATTTAATATCTTGAACAGCATTTCATACCTTTTGTTTTTCCTTGAGGTCCACCTCTTGATATGATGTCACCACCATCTTCTCTTCTCCAAACAATTTTTGGAGGAGGAAATCCTCGTGCCTTACACACTAATTTTGCCCCACCACCTTCCGGCACCATCATATCTCCAGATGTTTCTTCGTAAATTATATCTGGAGGGATAACAACCTCCAAAAATGCTGTCTGGAAAGAAGGTACGCAAATACAATATAATGGAAGAGATGATTATTATGATGTAGATCAAAGTTAAAAGTACGTTAAATATTGTATGTAGAGAAATATTACATTCGGTGTGTACAATTGTACATATGGAATATGGATTTTTAACGAGGTCACTATATAATTGTTCACACAACAAATCTATCATCATGGTTTAAGATATTAATATAACATTTCAGATAAAGGATTCAGATTTTTTTTTTTGCGTATAAATACTAATAGAATTAATTAATCAAGATAACTCACCTGCATTTTCATAGGATCTGTATTAACTTGGCACATATATTGTCCTCTGTCTTCTCTTTTCACACCACGAATATTCAGTGTCCATGTATTGTAATCGTTGTGTGTTACACTCAGTCTTGCATTGTTTGTGATAACGTGTTCGTGAATCGCCAAAATCGCCTTTGTATCCGCTTTGATCCATGCTACCTGTCTCGGAAAATTTTACCTTCCATTCTAGAAATTTGATTAGGCTATACAACACATAATGGGGACAAGACAATTAAAGATTTAATTCCAATCATCTACGATGGAAGTACGTCAGTGGTTGTAAAAAACGTAAACGATGAAGAGTTTTCGAAGGAACAAGTCTAATTACAGGCAAATACGTCTCAAGCGGCAGTCATGACAACGATTCTCGAACGCCGGCAACACTATCTTGTAGCGAGCGACTCGCAAAATGCTTTCGGAATTTTTAATTACATTTTCGTCTGCTCGCCGCTATGAGGCGTACTGCGGCGCACTGTGAAAATGCCCTCGTTTTGCCCGCTTTACCGAAAGCGTCAACATCGCAATAGAAGCTAATTTCCTGCATAGCGCGTAATAAAAAAGAAAAAATGTCTACGAAATATAGAGTGTTAAATATTTTCGAGGACACTTCAAACTAGTTACTTTGTATGAGCAGTTCGCGTTTAAATTATGGAAATTTTAAAGTCAGCAACACTTTTACACGTTAGTTTATTGTCTTTGGTGAACTTATCTAGATTCACTCCGTATTTGATGTTTATTTATCAAAAGGGTGTTTAATAATATACACATATTTTGGTGATGTATTCTACTAAAAAAGTGCTATCAGAAGATAGACTACACTAATTCAATTCATTCCGAAAGTGCTTGTGCATTGATCACTATCTTTGTGCACTTGTAACTAAAGTGAATCTTAAAACTACTTTTATATCTAAACTTAATAAAGCCAATTTATTAAATGAAACATTTCAATTTTTGTCATAAATATTCAGATTTATTTCAATTAAAATTAAAAATATGTAATTTCTTATTTTCAATCATCTAGCACAGCCTTATACCTAGTTAATAAAAAATTTTATTTTTTCGAACTCAAGACAAACTCTTGGTAAAATGTCTTTTTAAATTGAATTGATCTAGGTATAAAGTTATGAAGTATGCATAGTTAAGTATATGGAAAATAAGAAATGACATAATATGTCATTAAAAAATACATATCTTTATTATTATAAAGAGCAAATAAAATATAATAATTCCCATTAAATTAACTCTTCCATACCAGCGGTGCATATCAGGGTGATGTAATTTGTAATTTGTTTTGACAGTGTGTTGTATAAAAAAATAAATGTATGTATTTGTTACGCTGGGTGTGTGTTTTTTTTATCTTTCTATGACAACAATAACGCCAATGATGTTATCAAATTTAATGAACAAATAAATAATAATCATAATTCTTTGATTCCCAATACTTTGTGCTAATATTTGAGATATTGGAAATGAATGTTATATTATAGGTTTTAGCCTCCTGGGATTTACTATGATTGTAATTTCTGAATATAATCAGTATGTTGAAGCAAATACAAATGTATTGGTTTGGTGCTCCCTGAACGAGGACGTTAGGAAATTGACTGACCTGTATCTTTAACATATATCTCTTCTCTATTAATACCCTTGAGAGAGGTATAACTTGTTTTCAGAAAATATATAGAGTTAGTTGGGATAATATAATTTATGGTTGTATTTCTCGTTCCATTATAAGTTTTTTTCAATGTAAGCAGAGATAAGATTCTTTTAAAAATATTATGCGAAATATGGCCTTATTACTTATTATTAATATTATAAGAGCTGTTGAAAAGTTATAGCAAAAGTTGTTTCGAAAGAAATATCGAACAAAATTATTATTTTTCTCTTTATTATCAGAAGTGTTGGTATTAATGATTAGGAAGAGTTTATTTATTTCTACACAACTTGTGGCTAGAACAATGTAAATATTAAAACAAATGTATATAGCATGTCAATTCTTTCGTTGTAATAAATGTTTATATTATTGAATTGGTACCCTATACAGTATCGAGTAATATGAAAATACGGCAACAGATGTAGATTAACTGTGGGGACAGTAGAGAGCACTGCCTCTCGAAATGATTGAGCGGGGACTAAGGGGGTTTGTCCTGGCTTTATTTTAATTTCGTAAAGTGACTGTTTTGCAAGGCCTCCATGACTAAATGGGATAGCTTCGTAGTGGATTAGTGGTTTCGCTTTGCAAATTAATTGATACACGAATGCACACTGCATTTCTGGTCATTGGAAGTTCTTTGTTGTAAAACATTATATACCATGCATTAAAGGTTTATTTAAAAATTGTAAGTTTTATTTAAACGACTTTTTTTTGATTGTTCGGAGTAAAAATGTAATAATGCTTTTTTTAATACCTTCAAATATATAAACAAATTGGGACACATGATTTAATGAAATAATTATTGCGTTTAATGAAAGGAGTTTAGTGCCGGTGCATTTAATAATACATGCTTCAAAACCACACATATTATCGGCATGGCAGAAAAATTGTGCTTCATATTAAAACGCAAGAATACGTATCCACTTTTTATCGTATTCTTGAGTTTTTTTGTGCAGGTGTGGGTGTGCTATGTGCTAGTTGTGCTTGTACTAGCTATGCTACTGTGAAACTTACATTGTGCAGGTCCATGGTGTTCAACTCTATGCTAGATAGAGACAGTCGCTATAGGTTAGTTCAAGAAGTGCATTAGAAGTTGTGTGCTAAAGAAGTGTGGAAGTAAGTGCAAAGGTCTATTAACTTGAGATCTATAACCATTGAATATTTAATATACTATTGAAATAATAACATTTTTTCTGATATTATTTCTTTTTTAAACACTTTTAGACAAACAAAATATTTATATGTTGGAATATGGCTATAAAATTATATATCTTTAGATTAAATATTTTATTATATGGAAACCAGATTTCGCTTTAGTTGAAAACTCATGCAGCTTGAAGGGGGGGGGGGAAGGGGAAGTCATTTCCTATCAATAAATTTCGCCAGAATAATTATAGATCCCAAAATCAGGTGCTGGAGTGAGGTGCGTCTATTTGGCTAGCTGTAATGAGTTTGTTTGATACACACCCTGGCGGTGGCGGAGTCGCCACTCACCCTATAACCACCAAGGTTATTGACCACACACGTAAATGTCGCGTCCCTTCCCTGGGCGATCGTTACGTTCTCCAGCGGATAGAGGAAGTCCGGCTCCAGACCTAACGCTGAAAAATATTAAATAATGTAAATGAAATGAACAATCAATCTATACAAGTGGTGTCATAAATAAGGAAGAATGACGAAGTCGTTTTTCATATGAATTACTGAATTTACAGTTTTTTATATATTTTTAATTTGTAATAAAAGCAAGTAGAACAATGTTTTTAATCGATGTAATCTGTATGTGCCGGTATTTTAACAAGAGTATCTTCACATTAAGGTAAATCGAAATGAGAGCGCAATCGCTTTCGTATCGTGCGCTCAATCTGTTAATTTATTGATGTTGTTTTATCGAGTTATATAAATATAGGGCTTTCAACGATTTTATAAATAGGCTAGCATCAGTTCGTAACGTCATCTGTAGAACCATATCGTGAAATGTGTACATACGATATTGATTATTGCAACCAAAATAGAGCAAGTAGTCAGTTAATTTTGTTCAATATTATGTATATTAAAATGGTTATGTATTTTTTAAGAAATAATTATTATTTTTATGCTTATATCTCTTTAATCATAAATTACAATTACGCTTTATATTAACATGATTTTTAATAAACAATTTTATTTTCTTTACTTCCAGACAGTTTTTTTTTACAAAGTAAAGTTAATAAATGTTAAAAACGAGTGATAATATTCTCTGAAGATAAGAAAATACACTATTATTGTTTATAAAAATGTTTCTGGAAGACGAACAATAAAAGAGTAATAATAAAACGGTTTTATATTGAGTTATCTTAATTAGTTGACATTTAAAAGTGACAAATTTATGATAATCGAATCATAATGGATTTATATAACGATTTTAAACATTTAATAAGTCAAATAGTCGTGCAATAAATGTTATGGTGCACGACGATATAAAATTGTATAATATTTAAATTTGTCTCTAGGGGCCTCTAAAGGCTGTATCAAAGTTCTTTTTACGCATAGTTTTCAGATATTTATTCATACTTAAATATATTTATCATCGTTACCGATAATAATGTGAGTTATAAAAAACACTAGTCAGTTAATTTAAAATACTTAAATAGTTTAACTTTAAATTTCTTTCGAGTGAAAATAATAAATACATATATCATGACTAAAATATATTTTCCCCAGTGAGTAGGTCTGAAGGCGTCAATATTCTACGTGACCAGTGCCTTGTGTCGTGTCCGAGGAAACATGTGTCGGAAGTGAGGACTATCTATTTGGTCATAGAATAGCGATGGCTGAATTATTTGTAGACACATCTAGCGGAAGATTGGATCTACATTCAGTGAATGCGCTACACTGACTTGCAATGCAGTTTGTTAGCAGTTCGTGAATGCCTATACGCCTTTGACAGTAAATAGATTTTTGTCTGGATTAAGGGAACAAATGAACGGACGGCACCGTTACATTTCATTGTGAAATACGATGAAGTAAATTTTTGCAGCTGATCTTTGCTACATATAAAATGTAAAATTACATATTTTTTACTTTCAGTTCTTTTATATTTAAAATTCCATTCAATCTAAGAAAAATAATTATAACAATCCGTGTTTGAATTAAAACCAAATTGAATATTTTACATAAATATTTGAGACGAATCTTTTTTGAATGGCAATTAACAAAATTGAAATGAGTATACATCATAGCTTCAATGACACAAATAGGTCATATGACACATGAATGCAAATGTTACGGGAAATGCCATTGTATGTACGGACATAATACATATATTTGTGTTGGACAATGTATAACTTTATTCGTCCCTTTGGGATATTGAGTAATATTTTGTTACGTAGCATTGTGTTTAAATACTTTTTACAAAAGATTACTTATATAGTATTTCATTTATGATATGTAATTTCTGCTTCATTCAATACATTATCTGTTTTAATTTCGTTTTAATCCATTGTCGTAAGTATAATTCCAAAAAGCATAATATTTGTTATGAAAATATAGAAAGTTAAAATAAAATAATTTAATTTTAACTTTTAATTACGTAGCAGAAAAAATCTAAAAATTTTAATTATGTAGAATAGAGTATATTAAAACTGAAAGTTTAATTAACTTGCGCAAAACAAGCAATGCAAATATGTTTTTCCTGCTTTGAATTTGTTCCTGTATAGAAATTCAGCATAGGGATAAGGGAAAGTGTCGTTATTATTTACAAATATAAAATGATAATTAACATCTTTAATTAAATCCCCACAATTATTCGACTATAGTATGTATACAAACTTATTATATAGACTATATAATAGTAAAACTTATAGACGATAGATACAAACTTTGTAAATTCTTGTATATCTTTTAATATTTATTAAAATCCTTATATCAAAATATATTTTAAACATATTTCAATAAAACTATAGAATTAATATAATAATATTTTCATACAAAATATAATTAAAACGTCATTGTTTACGGTTATACGATATTTTTTACATTTAAGTTAAAAATAGCAAAATGATATGCTAATAGCAGATTAAAAGTTATAAAGCAAATGTTAAATGGAAACATATATTATATTTTGGCCATTATAAATTATCTGATTCTGCAAAAGTTCATAAAAATGATATGAAAATTTAACTTTGTTAAAATAAGTGTTCTGAAATATAAAACCGTTATGTATTTCTATTATAAAATGAAAGTTATTGGACATATTTCAGAGTGGCTTTCAGTAACCTGGGACGATACAAAAGCAGGTATTCATTTGCAATTTGGTTCAGTGATTTTGTTCAGACTCTCGACTGGACGGGAGAAGCGCTGGATGAATTATCCTCTATTGTTGTAAGTAAGCGATGGCCCAATGTACATCAATAAGCTTAAAATAATATTATTTATATAAAAAACTCAAAGTACAGAAAATTTGTAATTTTATATACCTGAAAGTCTAAAGTGTGATATACGTAAATATTTTAGAAGAATACTTTGTAACATCAAAATATGTATTGATCTACTTAATTTTACACAAACTGGCTTTGTGTCAGGGATAATCTAAATTACGTTATGATGCGAAAGCAATATTTTACTTTATTCCAATATCTTGTTTAAATTTAAATAGACGTCCTAATTGAAGAAGAATTTGAAAGATCTTTACTTATTTAATATGAAACACTTATTATGTTTGTGAATTTAAAGTACCGCAGTGTGTAAAGTTAAACTGAGACATGGGATTCCTCAAACTTTTTTGAAGTCGTTACGCTGTTTGAAGGAGGAACCGCTGGAGTTTGGGCCACTAGAGTCACACTTGGATATGTTTGCCACAACTAGTTAAATGTTAGTTCTAACTTTATTTCGGACGTCGAACTATAGGACATGTCTTGTTATTGTTGTTCAAGACCGTTTTAAGAGGTTCAGCGCGAACTTAGTTTATATAATATGAAAATATTTTTAGACCACTTTGGAAAATGTATAATCAAATTTTGGGTTTAACTCTGAGTGTTCTTTGTTAGCTTTGCCACATAAGAAGACAAGTTGATCAACTACGTTATACACGTGAATCGAATCTGTAAGTTCAAAGACCCAAGTTCCGTTATTTGTACATAAAGAAAACATTCGAGTTTTCAAACATGATCGCGTTAAAGACTCCCGTGGGGGAGAGCGCAAAAATAAATTGTAAGAACGGGGCTGGCAATAAACCTTAAAAAACAATGTTGTTCGAAACCAAGAATTTTGGTTTCGGTTTGCAGAGATGAGCCGAAGTAGGGAAATTCTTCAACAACATTGTTTCTAAATTAAAACAATCTCATAATTGCACATTCCCTAACTTCTTTGATGCAGCGTATTGTCTGAGGGTGCACGGGGTGAGAGTAGGGTGGCTAGCCCAGGACAAGTTTTGAGGCAAAGTTAAAACGATTAAGTGTCATTTCCGCGGAACTAGCACTGTTAATTAAATATTTCGTCTGTTTTAATAGCCTCAGTCACTCACTTTAACATTAACATTTAAACATCCATTAATATATAATTATAAAAAGTCAGTATTAAAAACAAAATGTAAGCTAAAACTCAGATTTTACATGTTACTGAATTTTATATTAATCCTTATTCTAAATTTTAGTCATTTCAATTATAATATAAAAAAATATTACAATGAATTAAATTTCTGCAATACTTAATTAACTCAGTCTACGTAAATAAATCGAAACAGTCCAGAAAGTCCATTACAGTCAATTGGTCTAGACAAGGCACGTGTTGAAACTATTCTCACGGGAAAACGAATTACTCGTGTAAGACAAATAAAAGAACTGCTCGGATAAACCAAATAACAATTAAAAGTTTCAATAACGTGGTGTAATTGACTTTGCATTCGCTTTGAGTTACGATTTACTTTATAATTAAATTAAACGATATTATTACAATTTGTTGGGGTTATTTATATTGTAATTGAGTTTTCTTAAAACAATTATATCTGATTCAAAAGAATTCTTTACTACTCTTCATATGAAAGAATGTTATTATATGAAACAATTTTCATAAAAACTTAGTTTCATGCGGCTTTCATATAAAGTCAGCTCAAGTGTGGCTAGCGTCTCACTTTTTCAATATCCCAAACCGGAGCTAATGGCCGACAGATGGTAAGTTGGGAAAAGTGATGCTATCAAAAAGCGATAGGCAGCGGTTTCGCCGGTTACCGAAGCACTTTGCAAGGCTGACGTGGGTCAACTTACAACATGTTGTAAATGTATCTGTAAATTGATTACATCCAGATTTCGGATCCTTTGGTATAGAGTACCCTGTCAGCTTGTTGTATGGTATAATTTTATATATTAGTTCAAAGGCTTCGAGCGAACATCATCATTTATATAACATTAACAAATTAGGGGAAACAGTTTGATGTCTAGAAATAAATTATTGGCAAGATTTCTACTAGTATTTGAAAAAGTTGACAATAAAAGTGTGCCAAGAATTAAGTAGAAAATTACATTTGCAGTTTCTCAGCTTAAGTTCCACTTTTCTAGTACATTTTCTCGTTTGATAGGTACAAGCAACTTTTTTCCCTGTAAGTGACTTCTTTTAACATAATTTCATTAAACGTCAGGCGTCACTGAAACTCGGGTTAGTAAGTGTTCATAAAATGTGCGACAACAACCTTGTAAGTATGTCACCTCTTCCCATAATATTGTATGAATAATTTTCTTAAATGAAAAGAGCATTTTATCTACCCCTATGCATTGTTATTCAGCCGACGAAGTCTAAGGCGCTCACGCCCCTCAGCTTATCGCCGTTCCCAGCTATTGTAAATTAAATAAATATACATCTAATGAGCGGAAATACAATGCATGAACCTAATTGCTTTATCGTTTACTTTACGTTCTTTACAAACGACTGCTTTTTAGGTTCTTAAGCTGTTGAACGTTTCTAAGAGCGTTTACTTTTTGCAATGAATTACAATAATAAGGCAATTGAAAATGGAAAAATGTTAATACATTCTGTTTGAGCAGATCCGTTCTGAAATGTATATTTTAATATTACCGTGCTTACGTATATTTGTGAATATTTGAAATGATATATACAAACTGCTTTGATTTTACTTCAAATATGTTCATGTGTACGTAGGTTTTCATTAAATTCACTCTGATAGAAATATAATTACTATGCGTTCATTAGAGGCTAATTTAATATAAATGTATAGCTTTGAACACGTTCCTTTTTTTAAATTAAGTTAAACTTTTAAAGTATTTACAAAAGTATGTCACCAAAATTTTCATCAAATTAGGCGATGGGTTATGACTTTTGACATATTTAATAAACAAGTAAACAACTTTCTACTTTTATATTTTATGTCAAGAAAATGGATGAGTAAACTATGTAGAAAACACTTTGAATAAATCCTAAACGCTAATCTTTGAGACTACGTCCTGCTTTGTGTCCTTTGTGTAAGGACATTGATAAGTGGATCTAGCACTTCATAATAAGGTTGTGATCTGGGAATGTGCAGCTTTCGTAGGAACATGTTCTTTGAGTCGTTTCGGACTGAGTTCTCGGCGCAATTTAAAACTGATATCGATTGAAACTGAACTGAATACATTTTTTGAATTCTTCTGCGCTTTAAAAGAAACTATTTAAATTACTAGCCTGTATAAATTATATGATTGTGCACATGCACATAGATACATAATATGTATTAATTTATGGATGTTATAAATTTACTTTTAGTAAAAAATACTAAATATTATTTGTCAAATTATATTTCGTTTTTGTATTCCCGACAGGAATAATTTTATTTATTTAGATTACTCTTATTTATGTAGGTATTCAAATTTTACTAACAATATCTCAGCGAAAAAAATAGCCTTAATTATTGTATCTGACGTTATTTTTATTCCTTAGTTATTTTGAATAAACTTATTGTAACGTCAGCGTTATCGTCCTATGAATTTAAAATGTATAAAGATAGATATTTGTTATGTATAATGATAAAAATATGAAACAATGTTAGCCATTAATCCAATTATGTAATAAGAATTGAAGGTTTTAAGAGAGAAATAAAAACTTATAATGTGCTTGTAATTTAGATTGTAAGGGATGTTCATTACATGTAATGAGTTAGATCTTATCTTTAAACTCTAAATTAACAGAGGCCGACGTAACACGTCCTCAGAGGGTACCACGTACGAGCGTTTTAGCAAAAATCATAATTGTTTGTTGTAAATTAACTTCACTGAATAGATAATAAATATCATCGTTATACCTATTATACAATATTTTTTTTGGAGACCAAAACTGGAACGGTAGCAACGAAGTAAGCCTAGTTAACTGAAATAAGGTCTCGTATTTTTTAGTGAATATTATATTTGATCGTTTTAATCGAACATTCTATTTGTCTTTTGGATCATGACCCCGTCCCGTTTACGAAGGCAAAGCGTTCGAGAATTTCAATTTAGGGAGAAGAATGCGCCAACATAACGTGTGGCCCGAGATATTTTGATAGGACATGTTCTGCCCAAATAAATCTCTTTTAACATATTAAAACTTTTAAACGCTTTTGTTAAGTATGAACATCCGACAAGAACACTAAATAGAAACTTTAACTCCAAATTCAACAAGTTTTATGACTAGACCTAATGTTAATGTGATTTCTGTAAAATTTTGATTGCCTTACAGAATATTACGTAGGTAATAAAGACTTTAAGCTATTTTATTATTATATATCTTATTCTTTGTGATGAATAAAGTCTTACTTAAAATGCTCTTTAGCGGAATTATTTATATATTTTTTGGTCTATACAATAACGACTTCACAATATCTTAATTCACTTAATGTAAGTCGGAAGTAGTCTTCGTGATTTCTTACACCATCTAAATAGACCTTTACCACTATTTAGAGTGAAGTTTTAATGTAAATACATATAATCATTAAAATATAATTTACCTTAAAGGAGAATATTTTTAAAAACAATGAATAATGGACAAAGTTCATTTGTAAGCTATTTTTTTTCCGTAGATTATATCAAACCTAATAAAGGACATAAATTAAAAATTTATCAATTACATTATATTGACTTCGTATCAAGAATTCACAGTTATGTCTTTAAGGGTAGCCCGCTGGAATTTTCAATTTGAACACGGTATGCGACCACACGGAAGGAAAGGCTGAGATCTGCATTTGAGAACAGGCCACATAACGGGTAAGAATTCAATTTAGAGCATCTTCGTTGTGTAAAGATCAACTGCGCTCGACTCAAAGGCTTCCAGTTGCATCATGCACTTGAAGAATGACTTGCAACTGGTTCTTTTGTTCAGTGTTGAAAATCTTACTGTTTATATACAAATAGTTCTGTTTTGTGAAATAAAATGTTTCTTTTTTATTGTATTTTAATTATAATAACTGTTATTTATATTACCTATTAAATTCAAATGTATTCACCAAAAAAATACATTTTATTCAATACTAGACAGTAAAATAATCAAATTCTGGGGTTTTAAAATTGAAATATGAACTTAAAAAACACTGCTCTGAAGATGTCAAAATAGGAACCCAAAATTTTATATATTTGTTATATTATTATTTTACTTCATATTAACTATGCCAGAGTTAGAGTACCTAAGGTTAGTTATACCAATAATCTTTAATATAAGATAAATCTACTGACTAGAGTCAAGCTTACAGTCTTTATGTCAATAGACCAAATGATGCGATTGTGTTCTGTATATTCCGTAAGTATCAGAGTAAGTTATTATGAATTTCGAAGAGCGCATAAATGTTTATTTAAGCTTTGTCTAAGTTGCCACCGCTATTTCACGCATCAAACTTTCCGTTGACTAAATTTATTCATGACGTGATCCCTTGTAAATACATTTGGGAGTTTATTGTCGTAATGAATTTGATATGGCTTATGAAAACAAGCTTATCTTTACTCATTTGTTATACATTTTGTTAGTTTATTTTAACATATTATAACTTTGAGTGGCTTAATTCAGATCATAATGATTATGGATTCATATTAAACTATTAATTTCACACAATGTGTAAATCTGTCGATTGCTCTTATGGATATTATACGATCAAACTGTCTATATATTTATTTTAAGATAAATAAAATATTTTTTTACAGTGACATTGCTAAAATGTCCGACAAGGAAGCCGAAGCGATTATATATTAGAATTACAGAATAAGAAGATGGAATATTAAAAATAAAACTGTATTAAAAATATAACATATATGTAGAGATGTACAAAAAGTCACTCACTTGATCACTGCAATAGTACATAAAAAAGGAAAACTAGTTCTTGTTTTTTTTTAATTTAGTTTAATTTTAGTAGTAAAGAAAAAAATGACGTTATATTTGAAAGCAAATATCACTACAAATATAAGGCTAACAAAGAAATACCAAACCAATTAAAAATGATTATATTCTTAAATCATTTAACTTTGTATATTTCCTAATTGGAAGTCGGATATTAATATGTCGGATACAGCCCAATAATAATTAACAATAAGTTGTGCGATTTATCGCACAACATTAACTTTTCAGAGAAAAATATGTTATAAGAATGTTTAAAATTTAATATTTAAAAACTTTTAGGGAAACGTGGAATAAAATAAATATTGAACTACAATTATACTGCTATGCTAAGCGTTTGACTAGCAAGAATGACATTTCTACATCCCTTTGTCGCGTTTCTTTCATATCTATATTTTCCTTTGTCCCTATCATTGTTTACGTAGTAATGTTTTTCATTCAGAAAAATAACATTCTTTCAATTTCTTTTTAAATCAATTACTTTGTGTTTTAAAACGTAAAAATAAAGGAGAGAACTGGACAGTTCAATATGTTATATATATGTAACAGTTTCTTGACAAGCATGAAAAAAATATTTTATTATATGTATTTAATTTGGCACATTTTTAAAAATAACACTATTTTTTTTACTTCTTCTTATGTTCAATTATTTTTAATATTAATTTCTGTAATTACTTATGCAAATGAATCAATAATTTCATCTGTCTCCTCTTTGAAAATAGTTTTGTGAGATAAAATTTCGGCATATATTTGCTGATCATAAGTATGAAATATCATAACAATTGTCGCATTAAAATCGTAGTAAAAATATTGCTATTACTATCGTAAAATTTCTATTTTAATAATATATACAGCAATTATGCAAGTAGATTATTATTTTGTTAATATACATAATATATTTGTAATATCTCCTTTTTCTTATCAAATTATAATTAATTAAAAACTTTACAAACATCAAGATTAAGGCCGATTGTGAGATATATTTTAAACATTAT